GTTAATGCTTCTTAAACTCATGCATAGTTCTGTCGAGAGAATTCAATTTAACAAACAAAAAAGTCAATCTTTTTTTAGGATGTGATAGGTTTTGTAAGTATAAAATGCATCCTATAACTATGATGTTATCATTGTGCCCAAATGTTTTGCTATTAGCATCGTGATAATTCATAAAAAGTCTATTAAGAGAGAGTTAATTAAGTTGAACAAATAAAAGAGTCTCAAATATCCTTTATTAATCACACACAACAATATATCTAGTATATATATATCCTCGTCATAATTCACGCTTTCAATGGGTTTCGTTTCAATCTTAAAATTATTTTTTCTCCATATAATTTTATCAACATACTCTGTATGTGTTTCTACGAAATTTTATCATTAATATTACCTTTTTTCATTATTGGATGAGAAAAAAAAAGTCAAATGAGTATTTGATTGAAACCCTACTTGAATCCTATATGGTAGGCAAACAATAAAACTTTTTCTTCCTTTTTTTTGGCTCAAATAATTAATGCTTAGTTCCATGCATAGTTTATAGGTTGCTCAATTAATAACAAATCATAAGGCACAACTTGGATTGGACTATTTTTTGTGATAGCAAAGGAAGCAAAATAAAAGAACATGCTATGTGGGTCAATTTGGTTTGGGCACTTTTGGCCACATGAAGGGCACAAACTTGAGTGTGAAATTACCATCAAACCCACTTTTCCCCCATGAATTATATGTATTTTTGTTCTCATTCCTCTCAAAGTCAAGGGCAAGAAAAGTCAATCCAAATGCAAGATGTGCCCTTCCCATTGTTAAGGCCCCAAAAAGGAGATGATTGAAGGGAAAGGGACATATAACATTGGAGAAAATCTTTGATAAATAATTTCATTGATAATTACACATCATATCTCTATATTTAAAAATGGCTTCAAACACGAGAAATTTAAAATCAGACCCTTTGTTAATTCTTTCATGATAGAAATGGTAGAGATATAGTTTTTTTAATATACATGGGGTTCCATCTCAAAACCAATTGGCAATGAGTGGAGTAGCCCATGTCTATTATAAATCATTGTTAAGTCCCTTCTTTTATCAATGTGGGATCCTTAACAAGTTTTTTTTTTTTATTACCTAGGAGTCGGTGGTCCTATGGTCTTTTTGCCCCTATACCTGGAGATATGCGCACTGTTCCCATACCCGTACAGACGCAATGAGTCATTTGCTTGGTGGAGTTGTGTCCTTGGAGCTTGAACCCAAGAGACTTCAAGGATATTCCTTGAACCCAAGTCACCCAAGCTATCCTTTGGGGATGTAGAGATATAGTAATTCTATTAAAGTGAACTGACAAAATGATATGATTTACAAATTCATAACTTGGTTAGGAAAATAAAGTGGAATTATGGCATAATTTGAGAAGATGAGAAAAAGGGGCATATGGGAAGGAGACTGAATTTTCTGAGGAAACAAACAGAAAATGCTATGAATTTGGGAAGCAAAGGAGAGAAAGGACCACGTTTGTATCATGTGAGGATTGTCCCCTTTGCCATGTGCATTAAATTTTGCTCAATTCTCAGCCTCAATCTCTGACCATCTTTCATAAAAACAAAGTTCACTTTAAAATGGGTAAAAAGCAAAAGCAAAAGGAAAAAAAAGGTCTGATTTTCTATTTGTTTTTGTTGGCATCTCATTTGTCTTACCTTTACTTAGTATCCACCAAAGGTTTTCTTTCTTTTTATCTGTTTTTACTTTTCACTTTTCCTTCTCTCTCTCATTTGGTTGAATTTTAAGATCCTCTTCTTCCCTGGGAACATAAAAGGATGATAGAGAGTATATTTTGGTCTCTTAACTTTAACTCTTTGGAGTCGGCCAATAAAGTTATTGAGTTGAAACTTTATGATTTTTCTTTTCTTTTTTAACTTAAAAAGGAGGGCGCCTGAGTATATTCTCGACGTGAAAGACAGAGGTAGTACTTCGAATGGGTAAGAGATGCGGCTTGATAAAGAAGGAAGGGGAAATCGTCAAATATGACTTTTTTGTTTGCACAACGAAGGGTTGTTATTATATATTGATCTTTTGAAATTTTAGAAAGTGGTCATTTTTTAGTCATTACTACCTAATATCTACACACTTGTTTCTTTGTCTTAGTCATCTCGTAAGGCTCCAATACATGCTCGCGTCAATACCTTAATACACATATTCGAAGTCATGTTATTAATCTGTTATATAATTAAAATAACGATGATAATCTAAATAGTTGTTTTTTAAAAAGAATTTAGGGATTAAAATAGATCTTTCGAAAGTTCAAGAATCAAAATGAATTAAATTTAAAAATTTAAAGACTAAAATAGATGTTTTGAAAGTTTATAGGCTAAAATTAAATTTAAGTGTTTATTTTAAACTGTCAATTATTCAATCTGTTTTCAATAGTTATTGAAATAGGAAATTCAATAATAATTGGAACACATTATTAATTATATATGTAAAACAATTAATGTATCAAATTATTAGCCCATTGCTTTTTCTTTTTTTTTTTTTTAATTTGAGAAAGTAGTACCCATTGTATTTTATTATTTCTATATATTTTTTAACATTAAAAAGTGTATCTCTAATTAGTAAGTTGTATGATTCTTTAAAAAAAAAAAAAAATAGTTGCATGCTTCATTTCATTGTCACTAACCAATAGTAATATTTTTTCATTAAACACTTAAAAAGAGTCCACATGGACTTTGGCCAAACATAAAAGCCATTCAATAACAACAAATTTCTCAAACCCTCTTCTCCTCTCTCTCAAATGCTCTCCTACCATGAGCCATTGCCTTCCTCTTGAATTTACTAATCCAAATAACCTCAATATTGTTCATGAGGGTATCGATTTCCTCCGCGATCGAGCAAATTTTCATGATGTCCAAGTCTTCACGGTTCTGCAATCTCGCCAGTTCTATAGAATTGGTTTCAATGTAAGTCGAAAAACTTCCAAATTTTACATATTTCTTAGTCCTTCCAAGATAGTCATTTTCCAAGATAGTCATTGCTTCTAAAATTATTATGCTCCTCTGTTCTCAAACGTTGGTATTTATAACAAGGATAACTTTACCTTTCCAGTTGTTGAGCGCCCATTCAAGACTGCCTCTTTGGAGATCATTCTTGAATCAAGTCGTGTCCATGAAGTAATAAAACATCAATTATTTTAACACTAATTTTCTTTTTTAAAAAAGAACTATAATTTTATCATTACATAAATTTTAGTTGAGTTAGTATAATGTAACAATTAATGGACATATCAATTTAACATTTTGTTAATAATGTCTACTCTAGTGACTAGGTAATTAAACATTTTTTAAATATAAGGACAAAACAAAAACAACAACTAAATTTATAATTTAACCTAAGCAGTAAATATTTTTATTTTGAGGCGAAGTAGTAAATATTTTTCTATCAATTTATTTAAATTACTTGTATTTCAAATACGCGTGTAATTGGATTTGTAATTTCTTTTTCAAACGTAAATATTGATCATGGACCGTGGGCTTAGAAAAGGAGTTTAAACAAATGGGCTAACGGCCCAAAAGTTTCATCTTGGTCTCGTGGGAGTGGGGCACTAATTTATGGGCTCGGGCTAACATCGAAAATAGCGAAATTTTGGTGGTCAAATTTCAAATTTTATTTAGAGACTTGTACATCTAATAAATAATAACATTCTCCATCTTTTTTTAGGACAAATCTATGAATGAGAACAATTTTTAAATTTAACCCTGATCTCACAAAGTAAAAAATTAAAAAAAAATCAATCTTTTATAATATTTGTTAGGGATGGGTAATGCAAGGCAACTCTCGTTGTCGCTAAAGAAGGGAGATTAGAAGAAGGACCAGGATTAATACCTTAAATCTTAGCATTATCTTAGTAATGATCGAGGTCATTCAAATGTATTATGAAATAAATTGCTATCGTCTGTCACGCCACTGCGGGATAATCTATGTAATAGACCCTACCTACCAATAGTATTAATATAAAAGTCGTCTTGATATCTAGAAACGTGGGTCATTGATAATTCATTCATATTGAGAATATTTCTGATAATAAAAACTCCAGATATATTATTATTATTATTAATTTTTACTTATTTAAAAAGAGTGAAATATTTATTTGTTATGAATTTTTTACTTTTATATATTTCTTAAAAATATTCATCAACGTCGACATTTTTCGATATTTTTATTGACATTTTTAAAAAGTTGAGATTTCATAATTTCTATCGACATCGACAATTAAAATCTTAATTGTAAGTAAGTATTTTCAGGTAATAACTAAAGTACAAAAGTGGAAATTTACCCTCAATCTACCATTTTATAATAATAAAGTGAAAAAGATATTACGAACTTGAACCTAACTCAATCCATTAATATATATATCATTAACTAAAAGGTGGTGACTTCGAATTCCCACCCAAATAGATTGGTAAGACTAACCTATTCATTAAAAGGTTACATTATTAAAAAATAATTATGTGATGTAAATTACGGATTATGAAGAGCTGTAAAGGTTGAATTTGCATAATCTATGTTTGGATTAAACACATGAATACATTTATAAACACATGAGTTTCCGTAATATGTGTTTGATTTTTTAATTAATTGTTTTTTTAGCATGTTTCATTTTTTTTTATTGACCTTTACTTCTTAGTCATAATATATCAAAACTCATTTGGGAATAGCCAAAATCATTTTTGTCAGTGTTAAAACCATCTCCTTTTTCATTGATAGAAAAATTCAAAAATTAATTTTTGAAAAGTTCACCTAAAATTTAATATTATATTTTCTGGACGAGAAAATACAGTGGAATTAGATGACTGTATTTCGTATTCTGAGATTAGTCGAGATATGCAAATAAACATAAAAAAGAAAAAATTAATAAAAATATGTTGATTGGATAATCCAAAATGTTATTGTCCTTGTTTGCTTCGATTTCACCCCAATTAAATTTACGTATATATAAACAATTAAACAAACTTCTGAGAGGTCCTTCCTTCTTTTTCCTCTGGTCTGCGTCAGGAGGTGAGATATAGCTTTAGATTTCATCTCTTATTCTCTCTCTCTCTCCATTTTTTTTTTCTGGATCCACAAGCAAACTCCTAGATCTCAATCGCCACCCATCCCCTCCATCTTAAATTCTCTCGGATTTTGATCGCCTTCTTGTCTCCCACAATTCGCCACTACAAGGTAATCTTCCGCCTTCCACATGTTTCATGCTGATTACAGATTCATGAAGTTGCTTGTAATTTTAGTTTCTCTGTGGAATCGGATTCGGGTTGTTGTTTTTTTATTTCATTTTAGTTATGTTTGCTGTTGGTGAAGTTAGGGTTTAGTTTTTTTGGCTATGGTTATTGGATTCCCTGCTGCACTCTCGGATCGCGTGTTTGTTTGGATTGGATTGGATTGTGAGTTTTTATGCATATTTTTGTTTTGTTGCTTGAGATCCATTAGTAGTGGCATTGCTATTTGTTAACTAGTATTGGATCTGCTTTGTATGAGTGAATGCTGGTTTTCTGTAGCTGGTTGAGATTGAAGTTTTAGGGTTTAAGTGTCTGTAGTCTGATCAAGGAATTGATTGTGCACGTTTTTTTGTTGGTTCACTTCAGAAGGATCTAAGTCCTATATAGCGTTGGTTCAACTTCAGTTTTTCATTTTAAATCTGCTAAAAGATTGGGACTTTTTTCCTATCCAAAAAAGATTGGGACATTTTGTTTTATAATATTTTTGATGGTTTTGTTTATCTGCCTTCTCTTTCAGTTTTATTTGTATAACTATAAACCATGTGGAGGTTCAAGCCTTTCATGCACAAAGAACCGTCTGGTCTTGAAGGTCGCTCAATTGATGTTGGCAATATTAAGATTCATGTTAGAAACGTCATTGCTGAAGGAGGATTCTCTTGTGTGTACTTAGCCAAGGATGCTGTACACCTTTCAAAACAGTATGCTTTAAAGCACATTATATGCAATGATGAGGAATCACTTGAATTGGTGTTGAAGGAGGTTTCTGTAATGAAATCGCTCCGTGGCCACCCCAATGTTGTTACGCTTTATGCCCATACTATCATAGATATGGGACGCACGAAGGAAGCTCTACTTGTGATGGAATTTTGTGAGAAGTCTTTGGTTAATGTCCTGGAGAGTAGAGGAGCTGGGTACTTTGATGAAAAGCAAGTTCTCTTAATTTTCAGAGACGTGTGCAATGCAGTATTTGCCATGCATTGCCATTCCCCACCAATTGCTCACAGGTAATCATGGTAGCTAATTATTTATATTGAAGCAATATTTTGCTCCTCTAAGTTATAATAGTTTCCACATAATTCTTGATTTTGACGTTTTCCATGCCTAGCTGATGAATTGACATGATTGTTTCAGCTAGTAGTTTGTTTGTTAACTTGTAGTTCTGTAGTTTTGTAATTAAGAAACAAAAAGATCTTGTTCAGTAGCTTTGAAGTTATGTCTACACTCTTATATATTTTTTGTGGTATATGGTTTTCGTTTATCTAATCCAACCATGTTTGGAAGCGCTTGTCGCTGCTATATGGTTTTTGTATTGCTATTCTTTTATAAGGTTATGGTATGGTCCGAGTTTTTTGTTAATGAATCAACAAAGATTCTAATTTTTTATTGCTATTCTTTTATAAGATTATTAATTATTAATTTTCCCCCTTGTCACTGCAATTTTCAGAGATTTGAAAGCTGAAAATGTTTTGTTAGGCTCAGATGGCCTCTGGAAATTGTGTGATTTTGGAAGCACTTCTACAAATCACAAGCGCTTTGAGAAGCCCGAGGAGATGGGCATTGAAGAAGATAATATCAGGAAGTACACTACACCTGCCTATAGGGCCCCTGAGGTATCAAAAGTTCCATATCTTATAAATAACTTGCAGTTTGTGATATTTGGTTGTAAATATGGTATTAATTTTTGTAAATTTTCTGATATGATGCAGATGTGGGATCTATTCCGTAGAGAACTTATAAATGAGAAAGTTGACATATGGGTATGTGAAGTATTTCTTTTCCTCAATATTCAAAATATTAAGTTACCATTGATCTCAATAGTTGTAATTGTGTAACCGAAAGAGCTTGTAGCTTGTTGGCTTAGTGGATAGACTATTCGTAGGCCCTGGTTCGAGTCTTGGTACAAAAAAATAGTTGTAATTGTGAGATAGAGTTCATGTTATATTTATATCAATTCTTAACACCTTCCTCCACACATGAGCTCAACTTTACTTTGTCAAGGTATTAGGTGGCTTACCATGGTTACTATTGATCTTGAAGTGGGGAAAATATGATAATGCATGCCTACCAGAGCACAACACTTCACCTCTGGAAGCTTTAAACGAACTTTTAAAATTTAAGCTACAAGTTGAGGATAATTTATTTATTCCATAAATTTTATACAGATTAATCATAGATATTCTGATTTCTGAGTAATTTTAAATGATTGGTGTTCTTTTCATAATGGAGATTTAAATTCTGTTACATCACAGGCTCTTGGGTGTCTTCTCTTCCGTATATGTTACTTCAAAAGCGCTTTTGATGGAGAGTCAAAACTTCAAATTTTAAATGGGAATTATCGAATTCCAGAGTTACCTAAATATAGCCCATCCATTACAGACCTAATCAGAGATATGCTCCAAGGATCCCCAAATGACAGACCAGACATCACGCAGGCAAGCGCTTTGCTTGATTGGCCATTCATCTCCATGAATTTAGGTTAGTTTAGATTGCTCATGTCCATGACAATAATAGGTGTCAGGATTCTCATAGTTTTCCTTCCTAATCTTGCGGTTGGTTTGTGCTGTGGCAGGTCTGGTTTCGTGTTAATGGGCTACTACCTGTTGATTCACAGAAATCATTACCTGATCAGCCACCTGACATGCCCCCTACAGACAAACTGGAAGGTGAGGGTGAAGAGTACCTTTAGCTTTAGTGTTCACTAGTCTTAATAGATCTCTTTTCCTAAAGAAAAATTTGAATGAAAGATAGGATTCATGTGGGTTGGAATCAAGTAAACTATTATGCTCCAGCAGCATTTACTTGTTATATGCTCTTTAGTTCATTGAGAAAGCAGATGTCGTTTATAGAGTGGGAGAAATATGTGTGAAGGGTTTAAATTATGATTTGATGTGGAAGTTTGTTGATGTAAATGACATTCTTAGCAGGCATTATTTCAAATACCATGAACAAGTCACCTCCGATGCCTCGTCGAAGTCCACCCCCACCTCCATCAGTTAAAAGTTCATCACAAGCAGCACATGTATCTAAGGCAGCAGGGGCAGGTGGAGGTGGAGGGCCGGTGGGTGCCTTCTGGTCTACTCAACATGCCAATGACACCACCATCATAGAGGATGCAACCAAAATTAGGTTTGATGAAGAATCGACTTCTCGTAGTGCATCTAAAGCCGATAAGGTTAATCCAAATAATCATTCTACGCGTAAGAATGCCAGTCCTGGGGATATAAACCAAAAGTCAAACAAGACAGATAGTGGTTCATTCAGAGATTTCGAATTATCATTTTTCCAGAACGAAACGGAGCGTGGTTCTGAAGAGTCCAAAGGATCAAAAATTGAGAGTTCTGCTTTCCAGGACAAAGCTTTTAACAATTTTGTTGCTGAGTTTGGTACCGCCAATTTCAGTTCTGATGTCACTAACAACAGATCAGGAAAGGAAGTAGCTTTAGAGGCTGAGGTGGAGAAGTTGAAGGAACAACTGAAGCAAGCAAATGTGGAGAAAACTGAAATCACATCCAAATTTGAAAAGCTGTCTGCTATCTGCCGTTCTCAGAGGCAAGAGATACAGGAGCTCAAGCAAGCACTTGCTGCTAGGAGTCCATCACCAAACAAAGTTGAAATGAAAAACCATAACTCCCGGGACGTTCCGCCTTCCACTATGCCGCGGGTATTTCCTTGCTTTTTTCTTTTCTTTTTCGTCCTGTGAATATCTTTGTAACATAAAGTGATTAGTGTTAATTTCACATTTCAGCTACAAAAGACCGATGTGAACGCTCAAAGCCCAGATGCAAAGCAATGGCAGGCATTTGCAGAAGAATCCCCGAACCAGCAGCCTGTTAATCCGGAAAAGGGTGTAAAATCTATGAGGACCAGAAGCCTCCAGAGAAAGCAGGCTGCTCCAGAAGACACTGGTTTCGAAAGTTGGGGCTTCGGAGCGGAAAGTTTCACATCTGTTTCTGCTGGAAGCTCCAACGCATCAGGATTAGCTGGTGAAAGGAGTAGCTCACAACAACGTATTGGTGAACCCAGAAACACTGACATATCTTCTCAACCTGCTGGATGGGCTGGTTTCTAGTTCCGGCCATGGTAGGGAGCTGAAGGTGATCTTTGAATGCAGTTTCTTGTTTCCTCGCGATACTTTTCGAGGAAATGATGCTTGCAAGAGTACAAATTTGTGGTCGGCTTGAAAGATAAGTACTACTGATAGGGACATTTTCATTTGAATCCAATATATATATATGTGTGTGTATTTGTGGTTGTGGTTTATAAGATCAAGTGATATGGGGGAACTTCTGGATGTGTTGCTTGTTTTGGTCTAATATAATAAGTTACCATTTGCACCAATCATCGGACTTCAAATCATTTCTTTGCTACCTCTCTTTGAATTTCTGTTTACATCTCTGTCAAACCCTTTGTTTGTGGGTTTAAACGGGGGTTCTTGCTGGGCTTTCAACTTTTGTTCACTTTGATTATTGTATTTTCGACTTTGGTTCTTGTATCTTTTATTTTGGTCCAATTTGACATTTGTACTTTTAACTTTGATTTTAACTTTGATTCATTTTTTTGTTCTTGTACTTCTAGTCGAAATAAATGAGATAAACATGGAGGAACCAATTTTTTTTCTCTCTAAAATACAATGATTAAAAGTTAGAAGTACATTGACCAAAATGACCGAAACGGAAAGAGTATTTAAACCTAAAATACTTCATAAAATACATTTGACATGAGAATATGAAAGTAGAAAGAACACGATTCATTGATTCAAGTGAAGTCCATTTTATTTTCTCTTGTCATCAGTTCTAAACACAGTAGTCTTCCTTCTATGATCTAAAATTCCTCTTAGTTGCTTCATTTGTTCTTCCATGGCTGAGATCAAATTCTTTTGAACCTGTACCCAAAAAAGCAAGCAAAAACTGTAATGATTCTGTCAATAAACTCTTGTATTAAACTCAAAGGCTTTCTAACAAGATTTTGAGAAAAACATTAAATTTTTTCATTGTTTATTCATGTTTGAGGTTGAATGAGATGAAATTAAAACTTTAAATACATGTTTGGCTAAAAGATTTGTATAGTTTAGGGTTGGAATATGAGTTTAAATTAAAACTTTAAATTTCAAACCCACGAACCATACACATGCTACACAAATATTAGCTTTTGTAACTCATTTCTTCACATAATCTGAAGTTCCAAACTCATGCTTTTCAAATCAAGCCAAGTATAGAAATAAAAAACAATTCCCTCCAAAAAACCAATGTCAAATATTACAGAGCTTAGAGGGAATTGGTCAAATCATGGTACGAGTTTCCACGACAACCAAACGTAATAGGTTAGACAATTGTCCCGTGAAAATAATCGAGGTGCATGCAAGCCGGCCCGGGGACTCACGGATATTAAAAAGAAAAGAAAGAAAAAAGCATCCAAATCAATCAATCATGAAATGGGATCATCAAACCTCCAAATGTTCATGCAGACTACTCTGAGTATCAAGTTGTTGTCTCACCACTTCCATCAGCTGATTCCCTCTGTTTGGATGAAATATCAAAGTCTGCAACAGTTTCTTGTTTTGACTAATTGTTAATGTAAAGTGAAAAAATACAAGCTTACATGTTTTGGTTAGGCTGCAACATTGTCTTCATCTTAGTCTTTTTCTCAGATTTTCCTGCTCCACAAACACATCACTATTATTTGTTTGATGTAATCAAGAAATTTCGGTTAAGTTACCGTTCCATTTTGTGTATCTCAGTGATTATAACCTTTTGATCTCTATGTTATTATTTGTTTCATTTTAACCTGTATACTTTTCACATGTACGACGTTAACTATCCAAGTAACAGTAACATAAAACCGACATGGTACTATTTGGAGGATATGACACATTCTCGTCCGAATTTTTTTGTTATTGCTCGAGTAGAACCAAATGTGATGGATTAAATCGAGATTCTTACAAAGTACATGAACTAAAATGGAGTAAACGTATAAATAGATGGACCAAAATGTTAAAAGTGTATTACAGTTACAGTTTACCTGATAATTTTCTTAACTTTAACAAATCTCTTTATAGAATTACACGTTGGATAGAGTTGTAAACATGAAGGTACCTTCTGAAAATTCTTGAGTGTGCTGAGAAATACGGTATTTCTGAGATGGAAATCATTTGGTTAAAAACATCAACCAAACAGTGAAGAGAAATGTTACAAGTTTTTTAATATGACCTGCAAGTGGCTTTTTATATGCAAGATATTCAAGCCTTTAGTTTTCATCAAGTGACAGAGTTGCTTTGGTGTGGCTTCTGCTGATTTGCAACAAACATAGTTACTAAACCGGATTCGCATATCCACGTTCGATCGATAAACATACAAATACACCACTTACTTTGAGCACCTCCGAGTCGATTGACGCAGTCGACGAATTTCTGGTGAAGTTCCTCAGTCCATTTAACTCGCGTCTTTGAAACGACTATTGATTTTGGCTGCATTGAAGAGACAACAAGAAACATACCAAAGAAGTTAATGTGTTTTTGTTTCTTCTAAAAAACATAAAACATAAAACGACAAACAGGAAATGATAAATAATTACTGAACACCTTTCTATTCTCGTTTTCAGTCAACTCCTCCCATGGCCAGGAGTGCTCACCATTGAATTCTTGGCAATTGCTCGACTGACCTCGAGTTCCTTGATGTTGTGGTGAGTCAAAAGAAGACGAGACATGTAGGTGATGTTGATCATCTTGAATGCTGGAGGATGCAAACGAAGAATCAAAGTGAGACTCGGCTTCTGAAAACGCATCGTAGCCCTCAAAGGCATAGAGATCAAGAAACGGCGACGCGAGTGGATAAAACCCATTGAAATCACTCATCAACATTTCATCATTCCACAAATTCATATCATATCATATGAAGGAATATAAGAAAATGTAAAGCTACAAAACGCTATATGTAGGAAGATGAGAGGCTGTTCTGTTGATCCACTTCCTTATTGCTTTTTTTTTCTCTCTCTCTCTCTTTGTAATGATAACTACATAATGTTGTCATGTAGTAACATCTCAAAAAGCTTTCTTTTATTATTATTTATTTTTTTCTCCCTACAAAGTTTCAAGATATCCACAAGTAGTACAAAGCTTTAGAGAAATATATAAGTTGTACAAAATTTTGAGTACAGTAGAATTCTATACAAATCAACTACAATTTTAAAAGTTAAGGGCTTTGTTTGTTTCTTCCTTAGAACCCGTTTTTCTATTCATTAGAAAAAGAAAAGCTTTTTATCTAATAACACTAGGTACCATTTTGGTTTTTATGTTTCATCTTCAGACTTTTTAAGTTTAATTTTTATTGTATGATTAATTTATATGACACATTTTTATTATAGTCTCAATAGTTTGGTTATACATACACTTTCAAAAAATCTCAATCATCAGTTGTAGGGTAACGGAATCAGTTCTTAATACTTAGATATTTATCCATCAGTACTAGTAATCAACAAAAAGTGAGTATCTCTTATCTGATTACCAATAAGTAACTAGTATATGTTTAGAACTTCAAGTTAAATCATACCCACTAAAATGGTAATTTAACCATCTTTAAATAATCACTAATAATTTGCCTCTCATAAAGAATCTTTTTTCCTAGAATAAAGTAATAAATTGTGTAGAGAGGTTTGAATTTGAAATAGAAATTTCAAATCAATTAAAATTTAAAAAAACATTCCGACTCCTGAGGTCAGATAATATTAAAATAATTAAATATCATGGAAGAATATTGAAAGCTACTTGGAATAAAGCGAAAAAGGGAATACATGGTATTGCAATTCTTTTAAACTTCAAAGTGGATTTCTTCATTTTTCCAGAAAATGGAATTTTCAACTCCATTCCTGCCGCTTCAATAATTGCACGACAGTCCCTCAGGCCTTTTTATCACCCACGGCAAGCACAATGGGCCAAAAATCACGGGCCAGCTTCAAGATCACGTGACTTCCGTTTTCAGCCCACGAAAAAGTTCCCGCCCTTTACACTTTTCAAGCTCCCCTTCTCTTCCGAGATTCAACCGGCGGCGTCGCCGGTGCAGCTTTCTGCTCACCGATTTCCGACCGAAGTTGCTCTACGTTCATCTTCAACCACCGGCTTTCGCTCCATAAATCGTCCAATTGCTTCCTCAAAGCTGAATACTCGCCGGCGCCGGCTGCCTCATCGCTTTCTTGTTCGCCGACGCCTTCGATTTTGATTTTTCCCAATGTTAGATACGGCATTTTGGAGAGCAGAGTCCTGGCAGTAAAATCTTCCGTTCTAACGCTAACCGGAAATCTCATGGTCCATCGGAACTTCACCGCCGCCCGGTCCCTCACCTTGAACCTCGATCYCGCACAAATCTCCACACTCGAGAGCACATCGTCGATTCGAGTCRAGACCTGCGAGCAGTCGATCCCATTTCCGAGCGTCAGGTCAGAATCGGCTTCTCCAGAAGTTTCGGCGCCATCGTCGACGGACTTTCCCTTACTCAGAGCAGCAACATCATCATCCATTCGCGAAATCGCGTTCCGATAGGGCAAATTCAAATTCGGGATGTGCGACTGGACGGATCTCCGGAGAGTGAAATCGCCGAGTCGAGGGCGGAAGTGGAGGAAGAACCGAGGGGGTTCGTTGCGTGGAAGGTTGAATTCCGCCGTGAAAGCCATGGGAGCGTCGATCGGCGAGCCGAACAGTCCGATTCCGGCCTTGAGGGCGAGAGTGAAGGGGTTGATGGAATCATTGGGGCGGTAAGAGAGGTTGAAGGAAGGGCCGGATCTGAAGAAAGTGCTGAAGGTGAAGGAGAGATCGTGGACGTCTGCAACTTCAATGGCGGAACGAAGGGGGAAGCCGAAGAAATTGAGAGGGATTTTGGCTCTCAGAATAGGGTTTTGGTCGTCGCGGAAGATGATGGAAGCTTTCATATTAATCTGATAATTTTTATTTTTTTTCGAAATTGGAAACCAAAATCAAATTAATGGAATGGATTCGATAAAATGCACAAATCAACACATTTATATGTCTTCCGCTGCGCTACACTCTAAAAGGAATCTTTTTCGAAAAATAAAATTAGAAGTATTTCAATTTGGTAAGGTAGTGAATAAAACATTTTTGCCCACTTAGTGAATAAAACATTACGGGACAGTCATAAGAGTTACGAGAGTGGAAGAACAAATTATTTATTAAATTAATATTTTTGCCCAATTAGTGAAGTAAACCACCGACTTAACTGCAACACCACTTTTTTCTTTTGTGTTAGTTAACTAGCAATGAAAGGAGTTTATGGACCGTTTTAAACTATTTCTTAGACTTAAAGCATACAATGTCTTTTTTTAATCTCAAGAATCAAATAGACATGAAATCCAAACTCTAGAGTAAAAAAAAAAAAAAAAAGAGTATTTTGACCTATTAACTTATTTTAAAATGAAAAATTGTTTTATACAATTTTATTTAGATACAAATCTAATAATCTATTTATACTAATAAAATATAATTAATGTTAAAATATATAATATAATTTAAATAGCGATGCTGATGCTGATGCCAAAGTCAAACCAAAACCAATGTGAAAATCAAAATCAATCCAAAACCCGGTACTAAAACCAAAATCTATACCAAACCAAAACCAAAAGCAATGCCAAAATCAATACCAAAAACCAAAACAATGCCAAAAGTATTATCTTCAAGGGCTTTAAAAGAAGAATATACTTAATAAAAATAGGAAGATTGCATGAAGATTGAAGGGCTTTAATTGAGAATTGAAATGTATCTACCGTACAAGCCTTTTTTGTTGAAAAATAATTGCGGGAGTGGCTCAATTGGATATTGCACATTCACTAGGGGCCCATTCGTAATTTCAGTGCCTTCCACAGTTGACGTGGCAGAAGATTACCCTTTTGTCCCCCTCGTAGTTGACGGCGATTGCTCGGAAACGAAAACGACAGACCTAACAATTTCGACGTGTCGTTTGGTCTTACTTTCATTTCCCTTTTTGCCTATGGCCCAATAGTTGCTCTCTCTTTTTAATTCAAATGCTTTCTTTCTACATTATCTATATTTTTAATTTCATAAAGTTCTCTCTCTCTCTTTTATCCTTTCAAAATTCATAGCTAAACATCAAAAACCAAAAAGATTAAATCTTATTTTAATTTATCAATACATATTAATACACGTTTAAGAAACTTTATTTATTTAAGCAACTAACGACAAACTAATAACGATGGCTAAAATTGTTAGGTTTTTAAAATTCGAAGAGTGAAATTAATATTTTTAAACTTCAAATGCCAAATTAGATTAGATTTGAAATCTTAAAAATCTAGTTTAATGAGTCAATTTTGGATAAAATAATTTTAAATAAATATATGATTCAAATATCTGGATATAAAACATGCAAATTAATCCCAATCAATCAAAATCCCACATTAAATTTCCTTGAAGATAACAATATAATCTTTTATTATCCTGTGGCAAAATGGTAATATATTCAATACTAATACCAATTTCCATGTTCAAACAAGGGACTTTTTAAAAAATTTAGAAAAGAACAAGTTCTTCTAAAATTATTTGGGAAATAAGGTTTTGGTCTCTCTAATAGTATTTTTTTAATTTGCTCGATCACATTCCTTTTTTTTTTCTTTTAATTTTTTCTTTAAGATCGTTTTTCCTTTTCTTTTTTACTCATTTTAACTGCATCTATAATAATTGGCATATACCTCCGACTGCATCTATGATAATTTTTACTTCCGATCAAAAGGTTGTGAGTTAGAATCCCCTACTCAACATGTTTATACTAAAAAAAAAATTACATCTATGTTTAAAAATATAATAATGTAAATTTTTTAAATAAAATATACCAAATAATATTTCTTGATCTATCTTTCAAATAAGTTGTAGACCCATCAAATCAATCTCTTCAAAACAATTAAAATTTTACAAAATATTAAGAAAACTAAAATTTTAATGTAAATATTACATTATAAGAAAAAAAAATTAACTTACCTGAAAGTGACCAAATATTTCAAACAAATATTAAAATCTTAAAATGATTTTTATAGTAATAAAAACATAGCAATAAAAAACAATTGTCTTCCCAATATTAAGTTAAATATTTTTATTACCATGATAATAGTTACTTTAAAATTTTTAGTTTTCAAAAAATATATTTTTGAAAATTTTAATTGTCATGATGCGATTGAGGAACACCCTTATATGAAAAATATATGGTAAATTATATCTAAAAAAATTGATTTTATAGAGTCTACAATTTATTTGAAAGATAGATTATTAAATTACATTTGATATATTTTAAAAAATGATGGTAGGAGTCCAAAACTATTTTTAAGATATGCATGTAGGCAAAGTTAAAAGATAATAATTAAAAAAATAAAACTTAGATGCATTCCATTTAAAATAAAATAAAAAATCCTTCAAAAAAGAAAAAAAATTGAATAAAAATGTCAGTCAAATTAAAAAAAAATAGAATACCTCTTAAAGGTACCTTTTAGAATAATAGCTCATTTTTTAATATTTGTTTGAAATATTTATTAAGTTTAAAGTCTTTTCAATATTTGTCAATATAAACTTAGTTTAACAGTAATTACTATCCGTTCCCCGTCCCTGAAAAAAAAACCTGAATTAATTGAATGAGCTAGGCAAAATAATAATAAAAAAAAATCTATAACGGGACTTTAATGGCCCGTTTTCATCTGCCAAAAAAGTGGAATACGTTTCTTGAACAGTGTTGCAGGACTTAACCCGATACCTTACAACACTCCAAATAATTCAGTCTCAAAATTCATCTCAACTTTGACATAAGTTACATATGTGCACGAAGGTGTCGACCAATTTCAGGCTTTTTTAAATATAAATAATTTTAAAACAACTTGTTTTTTATATATATATATATTTTTTAAATGGTCTACTGTTTCAGAAAGTCCTCGAACAACATTAAAAGTATTAGGTAAACATATCATTATTGCTAAGAAAAGAATATAAAAGCCACACCTAACTATAACTCAACTCGTTAAGTCATATATATTTGAGTGTTAGATATTCGAATCTCTACGCCACCTCACAATGTTGACTAAAAAAATTAAGAAAATTACAAAGAAGTTAGTTGAAGCACCTTTCCCATCTTCCATCAGCAGCCCTTGTGAAAATTCTTGGCTTCTTCTTTGGGAAGGTCTCTCTCCAATCTGGGTGTTCCACTATATAAGCCCACTGCCTGTTCAGAGAGGAAGAGAATAATGTATTTCACATATACGTTTATGAGCATGCGGTATATGATTGGTTGGAAGAACGTCGTGAAATTCAAGCGATTGTAGATGATGAAATAACGAGTAAATTTATCGTATTTGAAATGTTATACCTTCTTTCATTCTCCACAAAGTCTGGTCCTTCTGCATAAGGAGAGGTAGAACATGTTTGAAGGATTTCGGAATCGGAAAGGTGTTGTAGAGACAGAGCCATATGTTGTTTCCATTGGGACCTGTTACATCACAAGAACATCATTCTATGTCGGTCCAAGTAAATGGTAACAAAATCGTCACAAGTAAAAAAATAAAAAGGAAAATGATCATGGGAAAGATTTACAAGTCAGAGGGTGCAAGTTACCAGCGGAATGGTTCGATTTTGAACTGATCGGTTTGAGTTTCGTATGCCTCCAGTAGTCTGCCCATCGAATTTGGATCCTCGTATGACGAAGATAATCGAATTCTCCGAACAACTTCATCGGGACATCTTGATGTACTATCAAAGCTAGCAGGGAACACAGATCCATCAGAAGTTTTCACCTGAATTAGCAAGAAAGAAAATCCCATAATGCAGACTGGAAAGTAACTTCTACTTCTGTATTAAATCCATTGGAGAGCATTTCTCATCACACAGTATGACTTTAAATGACTATTCACAATCACATGATTTCGCAACTATAAAAAATCGATAACTCTCAAAAAAGGAATCAGCGAAAGACATTATGCACGAATTGACGGTTAAAGGTAGTTACTCAGAGCATATTTACACTCAAGCAAGGCCAGTCTTCCCGACATGTGTAATGTTACTCGTATAGTTCGTAAATCTTCTCATAGATTGTGATCTTATAATAACTGCACCCGGAAAAAGAAAAGCAATAAAGAAAACACGAAACTGTATAGGGCGAAGGCTGACCGCTAATCCATTGAAGATAGGGTAAGCATTCCCTTCAGAGTCTCTCCGAGTGTTATGCTGAAGAATACAAAGAGTCTGAAGATGAAAATTCTCTGGCCTTGTCCACAGACTCTTGATAATTTTGTAGCATAGCGGAAAAGAATAACCCTCCATCTTTTTACGGCTTCCTGACCCGGTTATATGATTATTTTCCTGCATCAAACCCCAATTCATTCAATTCAATTCAATTCAACCATTCTGGTTGTGTGGATACTATCCTTGGAAATCAATCACAAAGTTAGAACTTAGAGGTCCTGAGCCAGACTTTTAGTACAACATCTTCAAAACCTCCAACTAAATGTACCTGCATTTTGTAATAGATTCAAAGTCAATCCCCAAGCATTTTGTTAGAGCAATTAGGTTGCGATTACAAGCAGGATCGACATCGAAGAAATTACATCTAACTCAGCATTGGAAGCGGGATCAACAACTAGGGATAACATCTGCGAGAGGGCTTTCATGATAATGTCCGGAAAATCCATGTGCGCAACAGATATCCTGAAATCCAGGAAATGAATTAGAATGCACAAGTGACCACAATGGCTACGTTAGCAGAATATACGTATAATCTCTTTGCTTTAATTCTTACATTCCATTTTTTCGGTTCCGAATAGCTATGCCCACACAAGTTGTTGCTTCGTCGGTGCCAACAAACTTTATTTATGCATCAAGTATAAAGACACGGAGTTAGAAAAGAACAAGTACACTATTTACTATAATAGATTCATTGGAAGTCAACACTTCAATACGATGGTCTGCTTACTCCACTAAGCATTAACTTTCATCTAAAATGCAACTGAAAATACTTGGTTGTGTAAGGAAGGACAAATACCATCATCTTAATCTTTTGGCATCTTTCCGTGGATTTTCTGTATCTCAAAAAGCTTATCTTAAGAGTATTATTGATAGTTCATGGGACATGGGAAGTGTTAGATATTTGGCTAAAACAAAGTCTTGGAAACACAACTATTTTTTGAAGCATAACAATGCAGGAGAAAGATTATGAACAATCTACGAGCCAGCTGACTTCAATATCGCTGTTAAAATGATATTCTAACCACGATGCGGATATTCATATCGATTATCCTGTAAGAGAAATTAGGAAAGGACATCATTGAATTCATGAATGAGTAGCTTAATCAAAGAGAGGGAGAAAAGAAATACATCCACTATTGCAGGATTAACCGTGGCATATTCTTTCTGAAACACATAGACCCATTTACTCATTGTTGATCTCTCCACACCAGACTCTGCAGAAACAGTGAACCTCATCTCTGAAATACCCTTGAAGGAATTCGTGGCCGAGACAAGAAAAGGGCACTCCATTAGAGCATTCAGGACATCAGCTCCCTGTTAAAAAAACATTACATGGATATCTTTTGGAATGATGAAACAAAGACAAAGAACCTTTTCCAAGCATGGCCAGTCGGATAACTAAAAAGTTCTGATCTGATTTAAGAGAAAATTTGCACATCGGTTGCTAATATTTCACATTAAGATTGAATATCTTGAAATCAATCAGCAAAATATGTTGCTCATAAGGTCAAATGCTCAAGAACAACAATAATGATGAAGCCAAACAGAATTAGACATCTGAGTTTTGCATTCAGATAAGTTCAGACATAGGCAGGTGATTCATTGAAACCTTCTAAACCCTCAACAGAAGTTAAACATTGACAAGCTGACAGTGTAGAGAGACTTGATCATGGAAAATACAATCAAAGAGAAGACAATAACAGACTTATATAATTCAAGAACTCAAAATTCATCCAAGATCAAAGACTGAAAATGGCCACAGCCCACCTCGTAAAACAAGAGAGAAGGGCAAATTCTGAATCGTATTCTCAGAAACCAAAGAGATGGTAAGGCTAAGTTAGAGATTGATTGAGATGGGCATTTTCAATGGAAAATTGGGGAGAAGGGAAAATGCAAAATAATGAAGATTCAGGCGGGAAGTACCTTGTTTGATGAAGATGATTCGATGTTAAAGGGTTTTCCGTCAACGAAAATCATGATTCTGGTATTGAAGCTTGAAGGAGATCAGAAGGGTAAATTTCTGCAGGTGCGTGGATAAGGAACCAATCAGAGGAATGACTTGTTTGAGGGGAAAAGATGGGTTTTCAGAGGGTTTTTTATTTTTTCTATTCATTTTCATACTTCGAATCACACAGGGGAAGACTGCTCTTTTTTCTCTTGGATGAAAGATCTCTCTCCTTTTTTTTTTTTTTATCACCCAGTTGAATCTGTCCAATTTAGTATTAAAATGTTAATTTCATCCACATCCACACCCACACCCAAGTTATGCCAAAACCAAACTTATTCAATTGGTTAATGTAACTTTGTCCCGCTAAAAATTGTGACTCAAAAATTAGCATATTTCAGCATATATATTTGTGTCTCAACAAAAATCTGACATATATTTTCAATCGAGAGGTTGTGAGTTCGATTTATATCCAGTTAAAATCTCAAACTCCCGAGAACATGATTAATATCGCTTCACCAACATGAGCATAACTATCCAACCTTTTTTGAAACATTATTTGTGGAAAATGAGTTTGCAAGTTTTCATTTTAGAAAATTAGGGATCTTTCGAAGCCCTAACACATCCTCTATTTTCAATTCTCCACCTAGTAGTTAAAACTTTCGAGTCTTTCAAGATACTTCTTGACTTTAAGAAAATTTTTCATCATGTTTTGCTTCGATTAATTGTTGATATGTAGTTTTCGTCGATGTGACACGTTAGTAATAAATCTGAGGTGGACTCTAATGTGGGCTATCGAGCTACTTGAAATCATAATCTCGCATCGATTGTAGCATTTGACCACATATACTATGAATCTTAAATTGGAACTTAGTTTGACTTAGTATCGAGCCGATCTTAAGTGAAATGCAAGAGATTGAATACTTTTAGAATGCGAGACTCTACTTTTTATACAAAAAGAGCATTGGAACTCTCTACCACTATGAAGATCTTCTAATAGTAAAATTGTCATAATCCTCAACTTGTATTAAGGCGCTAGAACTTCATCTTATTTCTCAACATATTCCAGAGGAGGCTTGAATATACGAGTCTTAATGAAGGAAGACCATGTATTTGTACTTGATTTTACCCTTAACAACTTTCATAAATGAACAACTTTTAGGGGATGTTTGGTTCGTATGTTTTAGGAGATTTGTTAAACCTGAGTTTATTAAATATGAGTTGTTAAGTTTGAGTTTATTAAGTTGTGTAATCAATTGGACAGAAAATATGTTTATTAAGTCTAGATTTATTAAATGTGTGTTTGGTTGGACAAACATGAGTTTAAAAAACTATGAAACAAACATAGACAAACCTTACTCCCCATTTTAAAAATAGAAAATCAAACACTCATTTAGTATTTAGCTGGAAGGACACGTGGGAGAAACTTAGGAAGGACTACAAAAGTAAATTTCACCCTTGTTAAGAAAGAAGGACACGATTGAAGCTTTCTAGATCTCTTGTAATTTTTCCTATATTTATCCACTAATTAATTCTACGTCATCAATTTATCAAACTCATCTCCACGCAACAACAAAAGACAAACTTTAAAATATTTTTCTTTCCCAAACACTAAACTAAAATACAATGTTCCAAAGGCATTAAATATCAAAATCAAAGCAATAAAGTCCAAACACAAAAAATATATTCAAAATGGTCTTTATTAGAGAACATAAACTAAATATATATATCAAAATAAATATTTTAAAAATATATTTAAATATTCATTTTTAATAAATATAGAACTAAAATTGACGTGTTGAAAATTAATGAAATAAAAATAAATAAATAAAGTATAAAAATCAAAATAAATATTTAAAAATAAAAAAAAAATTTGAAAGTAGATAGTAAAATAATATCTTAACTTTCAAAATTGGTTTGATTTCCCTCTACGGCCCCCACGAGTCGAAACCCCAATCCTGTCAAATTCGCAAAAAATTGAGTTTTTATTTGGCAATTTTGATATTCAAACAATCAAACCGCAGACTCCCAAATTCCCCGCCACCATGCCTGCAGACTCCCCCCTCATCCCCACCACCACCACGCCGCCCGCCGCCGCCACCGCCGCTCCCGTTTCGTACACTCTCGCCCCAACTGCAGCCACCACCACCGCCGCCGCCGCCGCCATTGCTCGTCCGCTTGCGAATCAAGCGCCATCGAGACCCATTTCTTCAATTCCTCCGACCCACCATCTCCACTACCCTCCTCAAGCCCTCTACACGGCGCAGCCCATCCCCGTTCGAACTCCTAACCAGCAATTGCCCAAGGTTCAGCAAGACGCGTCTCAGGGAATTCTTTACCCTGTCGCTTCCTCCGGCCGCGGCTTCGTTCCTCGGCCCATTCGGCCGCTTCCCGCCGATCAGGCCGTCACGGTAGCCAACGCTGCTGGGTTTCCACATCGCCCGGTCGTCACGTTCCCGCATCGGCCGGTCGGGTCGCCTCATTTGGACGCCATGAGCCATCCAATGCACATGGGGCGACCTCCCAATTTGCAACAGCAGCAGCTTCTTCCCCTTCCTGGCTCCGCCACTGCCGGCTCGATTAAGGGTGCCCCAAATTCCTCTGATCCAAAGGTTAGTTGGTTATTAATTTGATTCAGCTTTTGAGGCGTTTATCGATGGGTTTAAAATGTTAAGGTTTCTGTTCCTTAGGCACAAGAATTGCTACCTCTATGCCTAATTTTGAGTTGGTTCTCTGGCTTTGTCATTTCCATTTTCTCTTTAAATTTAATTCATTCTTTCTGCTAAACGGTGACTTGATCAGCTGAGTTAACAGTTGAACTAGASATTTTGTGACCGTTGATGCTTGTAGAGTTGTTTCTTTTCTAACTTTTGGTGGACAGTAATTGCATGCTATTAGTTTAACCAACATGTGGTGTGGCTTTTCAATTATGTTTTGAGTTATTGTTCTTTTTCAATTGGTCGGTTCTTTCATGTCATTTTTTTTAATACCCAAGTTTCTTTTTTACTAATCCTGTGGCCCTTTATCAAACCCCATGAGTTTGTTGTCTCCCCCAGCCCTTCCTAGATCTTTCTCATAGTTTAAATTTCATTTATTATCCTTTCTAGGTTTTTCCCCCATCAACAATCTGCGAGTCAAATGGATGTAAAGAAATGAGGTAATGGTTGCTCCTTATGTAACATATCATTCTTTCATTCATTCTTTTCTAATCGTCTGACATTCTGTTTTTGTGCTTTTTTTAGGGATAGAGTCAGAGACGACACTCTGTGCGTGATAAGAGATCGAAAAGTATGCTTTAAATTTCTAGAGTTTGTTTTTTGTTTTTTGGTTTTTTTTTTCTTTTTTTGAAACATTTGTGGCTTGGGAAAGTGCCTAGATTCATTTCTGTTTGACATGAAGACTTACATATGTGATATGGATGTTTAGATTCATTTCTGTTTGACACGAAGACTTACATATGCGATATGGATGTTTTCAATTCTTCTCACCCTGTTTTACTGCTAGTTTCATGTTGTTGAACTTACATTTTGATTATGTTGTGTGAGACATTTTTAGTTCCAACATTTTGAAAATTCTATAAATAACAAGGGGCTAAAAATGTGTGCCCTGTTGGAGCATCAGCTGTTTTGTGGATTTGTTTCACTTCATTTTTTGATAAAATTGAAAAATATGACATAATTATCTACTGTCAAGGGTGTGGTTATGCATTTGATTCATTGGTATGAACGGGGGAGTGATCTATTCGTTTGTGATGGTGGATGCTTTATGTGTTTTCATTTTGAATAAAGGGCATCTTCTTTATTTTTGTTCAATTGTCCTGTCTTGATGAATGATGGCTTTGCATTCTATATAACCAGATCCTCAATCATCTGTAATATATACTTGCTCGGATCCTCAGGTTTCTTATAACGAATGCAGCATTTATGATTATATTGCCTATTAAATGGTTAATATTGTCAGGTCAGAATAACTGATGGGGCCTCTCTTTATGCACTTTGTCGATCATGGTTGAGGAATGGTTCTCAAGAAGAAAACCAGGTTTGTGTTTTATCCTGATTACGACATCTTTCCTTTTTCTGGATTTGAGGAATAATTCTCTAGAAGAAAGCCAGGTTGAGGAGTCGCTCTCTAGAATGGTCAAGGAATGGTTAAACAACAATCTCAATGAATAGTGTGCATTACCACTGATCGGGTCTTGTTGGCTTTCTCATGCAATTTTTTACACGACTGTTCTGTGACTTTCTTATGTTCCTTGCTTTGAATGGTTACTTAATCTACTCCTATTTAACTAGTACATTATCCGTACGAGGTCTCAGCACATTCTTTTGTGCATTTAATAGACAAAGTTCTCTTCTTTATCATATGAGGCATATTCCTTGTTGAGATTTCCTATTGCTCTCATTCTTTGCTGCATACACCCTCCATTTTCCACTCCCCAAAAGGCATTATCTGAAGTCCCCCCCACCCAAAGTCACTCTTCTGTTTTGTTTTTGAAATGCTTGCTAATAATCTTATTCTATTGGCAGCCACAATATGGAAATTTTTTGAGGTCTCTTCCGCGACCTTTGCCCATCCCCGTGGCTGGTGCTATACCGTCACAGAAAAAGGAAGTAACCGAAGAAGAAGTTGGCGAGGATGATAAGGTTGGTTCCAGTTCAGTGAGTTTAAGATTTGGTTTTGGAATCAAAGTAAAATAATGCTAGAAAATAGAAGGTACCAGAATAGTTGAGTCTAGTTAACTTTGTGCACATAGGTTGAACCCTGACACCGATAAATGTGAAATCACTGGCAAGGAACCACGTTTTCAGTTTTTCTGTTGTTTACAGTCTTCATTCACGCCCTAGCCATATCTCACACTACATGTATAGAACAAAAATAATTTAGATTACATTTTCTTTTTCTGAAATGGAGGTGTGAAGCTTTACTAGTTGTGTTATTGATGAAAGTCAATCATTTTTTCGATATATGTTTCAGCAGTGGCCATGGCCACTTTAACTGGGGAGGGGGATCATTTCTAAATATCAATATCAATCTCAATATTTGTTATGGTTTCTTCTCTGGGTTACATACTCTTATACAATTCCTCTAGTTTATTGACAAACTGAATTTTATCCAAAAGGTCATTGGATATACTTTTACATGTGTTTCTGCATTTTAGGATGAGCAATCCATTGCGCAGTTGTCAACACAAGAGCTATTAAAAAGACATGTTAGACGTGCAAAGAAGGTTCGCTCACGGTGCGTGTTCGTCTTTCCCGTTTGTAGTTAGCTTCATTTGAATTGCATCCTCTCTCTCATACTCAAATATGATGCTGGATATCTGCACATCCTCACTTTGAACACTATCTTGTTGCTTCCAATTTGTGTAATTGTATCCTCCAGATTGAGGGAGGAACGGTTGCAACGAATTGAAAGATACAAAACCAGGCTCGCTCTTCTCCTTCCTCCACCAGTTGAGCAGTTGAGGACCGATAATGCTGCTGGAAGCTGAGTCCATTAAATCCCGAAATCCTCATCCCTGTAATCAATGTGGACTGCTGTCCAAATCATTCTTCGCGATTGCAGATGGAGTCAGAGAAACATTGAACAAAAGCGCAGAGGATTATATGCAGGCAAGAAAAGATAGATATTCGATAGAAATTGGTAATTCTTGTCTTCCTATCAGTTCCTTTTTGGCAGTTTGTACCATGTGTTTTTACCATTGTTGTGCTTTCAAGTAGGTTAAAAAACGATGTCATTTACTGAGGTTAGAAATGGAGGAAATTGAGAAGTAAATCACATATGTTCCCCCCTTTTTTACCTAACTTCTGTTGCTAAAATTCCCATTTAACATCATCACTTAGTTATATTTTGAGATGTCTGAATCTGAATCTTCACAGGGGCTTAAAATAAGGTAGCAAGCAAGTCTTATTGCTATAATCAATGCTCTAGGGTCTATTTGGATGTGTATTTTGAGAATTCCTTTGGAGATTAAGTTTTTTGATAGTTATTTTAATGTTTTTTTTTTTTAAGAAAAACTTGGGAACTGTCTTGAAATCTGTTTTATCAGGAACTAATGGCATAATTTTTCAAGAAGATAAAGGGTTTAGAGTGCCTAAAATCATTTTTTAAATAATTTGTAGGTTGCACAAGCTATAAATTGAAGCTGTAATTTGTTAATGAGATTTATTTAAAGTATGAGATAAGTAATCCCTTGACCGAGTTGAGCTATTCTCGTGTCGATAAGAGGTTAATTATTGTGTGCAAGCAACTTTTTCCTTTTTGAATTGAAGTTGTGTATTGAATAGACTACATATACAAACTTATATATGGTCGATAGACTGTAACTCCTCAACTATAGCTACACAAGTTTTGGGTGTAAACGATTTGGGTCGGGTTGAATTGTAGTTAAAACTAGCGAAACTAACATATTGATTTAAGAAAAATTAAAAATTGATGTGGAAATGGAATTTATGGAAACCCAATTGAATTTAAAAACCAACAAAGCAACTACTATAAATTAATTGAAGACCAGCTAGATCTATGGATATATATATATATATATATATATWTTTTTTTTGTTAAAAATATTATGATGAGCAAACCAAAAATTTTGGTTGTTCCAACATGAAGAATAAAATTGCAGAATGAGAGGGGCTTGTGAATAGTGAATATTTGTTTGCAAACTTTTGTGATTTGATTGACAATACAATAAGAATGGATAGTACACATATGTTGCAAATTGCATGCTCCCATAGGGTTACAATGATCAACATTTAAAATCTTTCTTGGAAAATGTACTAGATATTGTCACCTTGTTATATACTTTTATATATATATATATTTAAATTATATATACACACACATATTCAAAGTTTGCTTATATTATAAAAATATTTGTAAAGTTTAGACATAAAACACATGGGTGAACTTGGAAGTATGTTTTATAAAGTGGAGTGTAAAAAATAAATAACCAAAAATTTAGGTCTATTTAATAACTATTTTGTTTTTTGTTTAAAAAAAATAGGCTTAAAAGTTTTATTTTTACTTGTGTTTTTTTTATTTGTTATCTGCTTTTCGAGATTGTAATTTTTTAAAACTAAAACTAAAAATTTTAATTTTTAAAAGTGTGCTTTGTTTTTAAAATTACGTCGAGAATTTAGATGTGTTTTTAAGGAATATGAAAAATATACCAAAGAAATCAAACACAAACAAAAAATGAAATGGTTATGAAACTTAAATAATTATCCCATAAAAAAAATTAAATTTTTAGAATTTTGATTTGGGTGTTTTTTTTTTCTTTTTCTTTTTTCATTTTGATTCTTTATCTTAATTTTAGTCCTTCATCTCTCAATAAACCTCAAATTTAAAGACAGAAATTTAAAATCTACAACTTTTAAAGTTAAAATAAAAACAAATATAAAGTTGAAAGATGAAAATGATATTTAGGGAGGAGTGAAATTGCCTTGCAAACTCCTCTCTCTTTCAATATATATATATATATATTTTTAAATTTCTTTCTTTCCAGAAGTATCTCTTGTGATCAAAATTGGATGAACAATATTCATGTGGTACTGTTTTGAGTTATGTGCTTTGGAAGTAACCCCATGAAGTGAGATATGATTGAAGTTTTTGTATTATAGATGATTTAAACATAAATAGAACTTTGAAGTTTCTAAAAAAAATTAAAAAAAAATTAAAAATTTCAATGTCCATTCCATTACGTTTCACCTGCAACTATATTCATACTATTCAAAAGAATTAAACTCACAAATTAAACATAAACATTAACCGAAATTTCTAAAACTCATTCCTTTTGTACCACTCGAAAGACTTATCCAATTCAAATTTATTGGAATCTGAGTGACGTAGTCCGTTGAATCTTAATTGAGAATGAAAAAAGTATATCATATCATATTCTATGGAAGTATGAGAAAAGAGACAAGCTTCTCCTTGTTACTCATTCCTTAAGTTAAGCGTTCTTCGAACTTCCATCAAAATCTACTCCACTGAATCAAGGTATTTCCTAGTTTTTGACGAAGAAAAAGCGATCGCAAATTTCACAAATCAATTCAAGTGTAAACTTTTTCATGCTTTGTAAAGTTTGGATAAAAGCCTAATTTTCCTACTTGATTCACGAGTCAAAATGGTGCTTCTTTGGAGTGCCCGATGCTCGCATATTCACTCTGATTTCGTCCCGAACTTCTTTTTCATTAAGGTACTAAATATGTCGTTTTATTGGTTTGAAAAACTTGGAAGAAAGAACCCACGCCTTTGAACCAATCAAACCTTTATGCCTCAAAAAGCTTAAACAGAGGAAATTTAAGCTATATGCCTATTTTATTAATTCATTATGTTATAAATTTATAATAATGACAACTTTGAAAATTTTTCAACTTTGTCTTCCCTCTCACTATCTCTAGGCATTCACACATCTTCCCGTTCAAACTATCAATAGTAATATTCTGAATCCTTTTCTGTTCATGATTTTTCATGTTTTCTATTTTATATTATATATTGATTCCTTAATTATT